CCGTTGCTATCAGCGTTCCGCGGGGTGCGCAGGCTGACAGGTGTCTTACGTGTGGGCTGTTCACAGCTTTCCTCCCGTGAGCCTGGAAATGTGAAAGGTGCAGCTGAAGTGATTTAATACAGGCTTGTAGTGGGCTTGGCAGGGTTGCTTTGTTTTCTGCTCCTGCATGCATCAGCTGTCAGCTGTATTTCTTCGATGTGCTGCAAGCTGGCTTCTCTCCAGTTACTGTTCAAACCTTCTGTGGGGGCCTCTGGGTATGGAAGGGTAAGTGTTTTTAAAAAGGATACTAGTTGCCTTCAATTTCCCAAAGCGTTTTTGTTAATGCAGCTGGCCAAAATAAGGTGAGAAAGGTACACAGCAGCTGCGGAGTGGGTGCAGGAGAAATGACTCCGCTTTTGTAATTGGCAGGTAGACTTGCTTTTAACTTTGTCCGAATTTGTCTGCTGGTTCCACACAGCACAAGGCCCTGGGATGCATGTCAGCCTTACAGTTGTGGGGCAAGCATGGCTTTCGATCCACTGCTGAAGAGAACACCACCTGTGTAGTATCTGACTCTTCTGATTTGTGACCTGCTGTGCTGTGGGAGCTCCCCCAGTTGGTATTAGCAGAGTTGGTATTAGCAGCCTGGAGCATACAAATTTCTCTCCTCTGTCAGGTGTTGCCATAATGGGAGTTCAGCATCATGTGCTCTGACTTGGTTTCTGCTCATCACCATCTCAGAGTCCTCACAACCACTGGGAGATACTCTGGGATGTAGTGATCTTTTCCCAGTGAGTCTAGGATGTGTTTCTGGAAGTGGCTCTTCCTCTCCTTAAAGGATGTCATGTAAGCCCTTTGTAATTCCTGACCTGTGGAAGGGAACATGCAGTATAGCAACAAGTTTGGTCCACGCTAGGATGCACGTACAGAAGCATGGCTGGGGAAGACTGATTGAACTGAAAGCAGGCACCTCACTCCTGCTGTGCGCAGCATGTGTCGTTGCAGTGACACTCCTCTGCAACAACACTTGTTTTGTTCTTCTTACATATTTTCTGCTTAGCTGAAGGTCTGCCTGGAGAGTGCTAGGACTACGGTTGTCTTACCCACCTGACTGACTGTGCAGGAGCAATGGGCAGGCTGTCTGGGTAGACGGGTGTTTCGATGCTGTCTCCATCCTCCTCAACCTCTTCCCCGTTCCCCCTCAAGACTGCTTTGCAGTTCAGCTGGGCAGCATCCACATGGGGTGGCGTGGGAGCGGCCCACACCTCTGAGGAAGGGACAAGGCAGTGCTCTGCCATTAGGAGACACAGTCCTTCGGTGAGTGTGGAACCAGTACAAGACCATTCCCAGGATCCCAGAAGACTGACAGTGGGGTACTGACCACCTCCTGCTCTGTGGGCATCAGGCAGTTCTGGGCTGGGTCTGGACTGACGTTCTTCTCTTGCCTTGCAGTGCTACCGACCCTCCTCCCCGGATCCGCATCATTAATGGCTACATCACAGTTGAACCCCAGCCCTGGGGCTACGGACGGTCTAGTCACACTCGCACGGATACTGGCAGCACTCACCAGCTTTCCTATTCTCTTTTCCTCTTGCTACTGACTTTGACTTTGCATATGATAAGGCTGCACTGAAACACAGGGGGAGCCAAGCTGCAGGGCTCTTGCCTCAAAAAGAAAAACGAAACTGATGTGAAAAAAACAGAAATAGAAGACTCTGAGTGGGACACCTGTTCTTTGGGGTGTTCTTAAACTGCCTCCTTTTCCTGAATCTGGATCATTAACACTATTAACTGGTTTGACCTGCCCAATACAGGAGAAGATATTTTAATTAAAGAGTTATTTATCCTTCTCTTGCAGAAGAATGATTTCATGTTATCCCATAATGCTTTGGGGAAATTATGATGTCGCTATAACATAGCTGTTGTTTAGCTGTATGAGCCCAACTAAATTACATTTTTTTCACCTTCAGTGCCTTGTAAGAAGATTTACACACACCACTAACTTGTTTCTTAGAACGGAACATTTTTGTCATATGAGCACAGCTGGGAAAGAGAGGTTGGTATTTTATGTCAGTACTGGTAATGCATTTAATTCTTGCTTGTTAGGGCTCCAGATTACATACAAAGGTTCATGACAACACCTTCTGCAGTAGAATAAACCAGTAAAGACTTCTGAACAGAAGGTTTCTGTCGTCTGTTTGGTGCTGTTGTGAGATGGGTACACCTGAACCTCCAATGGCCAGACAAGTCTCGTAAGCACAAACTAATATACATTTAAGGAAAAAAAAAACTACTAGGGAGCTTCACAACCATACTGTTGGACACTTCCAGAATAAGTAGTTCTCAAGAGGTATTTTCAGAAGCCCAGACGCAGGTTTTCCCTCTCTTTCCAAATCACAAATATATTATTATTTTATAGCTGGATTCCCTTTTGGGGAGAAAGAGCTTGCTTTTCCTTTTCTGCACAGTTAAACTTCATTCTAGGAAATCCTTGCAAGTTTTCTACTGATTTCAGTGGAAATTCTCAGACTTTCCAAATTGTTTTAAGTCCTTTGCTGTCTACTTAAAAAAGGACATGCTCTTGAATGTTGGATGTAGGAAGCTTGGAAGTGGTGATGTGTAGTTTTCTGCATTCGTGCAGGATGTCCTCTTGTGATCACACTGACTCATTTTGTAAGCAACATATCCCTCCCTCCTCTGAGGAGGGTTTCGTTGCCTGGGAAGGTCTCGTAAGTTTCATCCATGGGAGGGCTTGGCGCCAATGTGCCTGGTACCTTGGAAACAAAGCGGGCACCTGCCCCAATGAGACAACAAACTCTCGGGTTTTCCTTCTTGTGCATGTACATGTGCTTTGCTACTTTTTTCATTGCCTATAAAAAGTTCCTCTTTTTCTCATCTTTCTGCTGCACGTTGGAGGAGGAGGAGCAAATGGTTCCAGCTTTCCTAACAGGATTTTCACCTCTTGATCTCAAATTTCACTCCCCCTTCAGAAGGACTGAACCTCAACAAAGCCTCACTCTGCTGAGGAAAACAGAGAAAGGAGAGGCCAAATATTCCAGTTTGCAGCAGCACTGTAGGGAATGAAATATATCTAAGCTGGGGTAGAAGATGGCACCATCTCATTCTGTATTCCTTCTTACAGGGAATGCTACAGGTCCCAAATGCGTTCTGGCTTCCTTGGTTTTACACAGCAGCCGGGCTGGTGGTGAGCTCTCCCCTGCCTCTCTCTCTCTGGCTGGTCTTTCACTGTAAACTGGCATAGACCTGGTGGGTCCAGAGCCATTTTCCTGAGCCTGAATATGGCCTGAAGGGAGCAGATGAGATGAGGGATAGTTTAGTTACAAAGATGCACTGCAAGTTTGACAAACTGAGCACATACTTGTGTGTATTTACCAGTGCATCTGAGGGGGCCACAAGAAGGTGACACCGTAGTGTGTTCCGCCACTTGCTAGCCTATGCATTGGTACTGCTTCTCCTCCCTCTGTGCCCTGTCCTTCAGAAGTGCATGACAAGGTGTGACACAGGTCCAAAGGGCTCTGGAAGCACTGGGAGAAGGGGCTGAAGCAGAGCTTCCATTTCTTTTATCCCTTACAAGAAAAGGGCTGCTGTGTAAAACAGCCCCAGGCCGACTTCTCCCTTTGTTCCCCTCTCAGTGGTTGCTCCTGAGCTTTGCCTCTGTGAGAGAGCTGAGTTGAGTGGAACATTCACCAATGTTTTTCTTAGGTTGGCATGAGAGAAGAGTAATTATAAAACATGCGGGAATAACAGAGACCTGAAGTAGCACTACAGATAATTCAGTTCTGGTGGTGTAACTCATTTTGTAGCCTGTTTCCAAGTGCCTGACTGTCAGGGAAATAGAAATGTCCTTAAACTCTGTGTGCCTACAGAGGCTGCATGCTGGGAGTCTTTCTGCAAAGAAATCAAATTATTTCAAGGTATTTTTGAGGGTCTCATGGGCTTGGCTTGATACCTGTGAACTAAACTGGTGGTTCCTATCCCTCACTTTTTCTTCCAGACCAGTCATTGCTGACTGTCCATGAGACACAAAAGTCTTGAAAGTGTGACTGGTATGAGAGCAGAACCTTACTCCAGCTGCACATGCTACTCAGCTGTTTACAGTGACCACTGAGGAATGCTAGGTTTGGGTCCAGTTTTTTCTCCCTAGCTCCAGAACAAGAAAAGTTTCCCAGAACTGGAAAAGCCCAAGAAACCAAGGCCAATGTCTGCTCAGGTACCACCCTTCTCTGGCCACAGAGCGTCAGAAAAGGAAGCGTTCCCACCATGTGTCTGGGAGCCTTCACTGTCTCTCTATCCATCCCTCCCAAGCAGTTGAGAGAGCTTTTGTTGCCTTGCAATTGAGATTCAGTCAGGCTTGTGATGACTAGCAGACTTGAGTCAGAAATCACTGTGAAGGTGGAGGTAACTTCTTTCTTCAGTGGTGGGGCTGAAGGCTCCTGTTGTCTCCTGAGCTAGGTGCCTCCACATCTTCTGAGTGCTATAACAAAGCATTTTTTGTTGTATCTGAACATCCTGCTCTCCCTTTTCCATTCTCATTCCTTTGTACTTACTAATTAGCCCGTGCACTTTGCTCTTCCCCTTCCTGCTTAAATTGTTTTCATAAATCATATCTCCAGTGTTCTCTGTGAACAGATTTGTTTTGAGATGATTGGGACTCTTGCCATAGGTTCCTTGTGGTCAAGATTTCTCTTCCTCTGTTGGGAGGCTGATATTTGCAAAGTTATTAGTAGAAATTTAAAACATAACCACTTCAAAATGTGCTGGTTTGGTAATTCTGCACAACACTTGGATTAAATTGTAATGTTGGAGAATATGGGTTATAACCATCACTGTTGTTCTGCAGTGTATTGTGAATTCTTGTGACTATTTGTTGCTTGACTAAGCTTCGCTAATGAACTACTGTATTATAACATATACTTTTTAATTATTATAAAACTTCACATTTATGTATATAGCTAGGAAAAAAAGGCAGACAAACATCCTCCTTGGGAAAAAGGGCTTGCCTATAAATTCCTATTTCCCGAGATAGTCAGCACTTGCACTTTATTTCTACTTGCTGATGAAATGGACCAGGCATTAGTCACGATTTCTTCTGAACTTCGTTGAACTTCCCAACAGCTACCTCCTGCAATTTCACAGCTTTTCCTTTTGGCTGCTGGTCACTTCTAACGCATTGAAGCTTTATTTTCTGGTATGACATTTGGTTAGCAACCGGGATTTCCTGCAAAGCATTGCAGGAGGCATGACTTCACCCAGTGTGCTTTTATACACAGTAATGTCCTCTTACCTGACACAGCTTTTCTGTGGGCTGTAAGTGGCCCTTACTGAGCTGGGTATCCAGCTAGGGTCCATGCTATTTGGATGTGAAAAATAAAATTACTGAAAGAAAAAAAAATCTTGTTCTTCAGATAGGGTCTAAAAATTTACGCATCCCTCCTAAGCAATAATTTTAACAATGTGAGAGGGGATGCATAAACTGTGCCGATTACCTCACTCTTAACCTCTGATATGCCTTAAGGACCTTGCATGGTTTTGTAATTTTAAAGGTGCAGTAGCATAAAAGAACGCAAAGTAAATGCAAAAAAACTGGCTCAGTGGTTCACATTTCTTTCCTTTGAAACTTTGGAAATAAATAGGGTGTTTTTTCTGGTTTTGGCCATTCATGTAGCAAAATTATACTTCTAAAACAGGGGGAAAGTGCAGGAGTTACAAAAGGTGGGTAAATAAATAGAAATTAAGATATCTAAGCATTTTGTTTCTTTTTTTCTCTGTGCTCCTTTTTACCCTCTGCAACAAGGCTTCAGGGGAAAATATGGGTGCTCTTCAACTGGTGAGAAAAGAGCCAGGCACTGAAAGAGCAGAGCACTCTCTTCAAACACCAGGGTAGTCCTGTGGCTGGTCTGTTCTCTTCCCGGTAGAGTTGAAGCTGCCATTACTCTGTAAGTAATATAACAAGCTGGTATAGTTCAGTGGGTTGTTATGGCCTCTTTTGATCAGCTATTTAAAACACTGTGACACAGTCAGTGTGTAGAAATTGGGTTGAAATCTCCTATTTAGATACCCAAGGAATGTGCTTTAGAAGATGTATTTCTCCAGTGGCTTGTTGACTAGCAAATGTGGACAAAATGTGTTATTTACCCTTTGTCACAAAAAATAAAATCTAAGCCATTAAAATTAATAAAGAAAAGGTGATCTTGTTACATCTGTGGTGAAACTGATTACTATTTTCTACCTTTCTACTCTGCTTCATCCAAATTGCTATTCTGTAACCACCAATGAATGCACATGAGGTTTATTCAGGTCAGGTCTCATGCTGAAATTAATTTACCTTTCAAGATCACAGTCTTGTTGTGGTGCAGGTTTGTCCACATTGAGAAGACTGTATATATCAGTAAAGGCTGGAAAAAGTCTCTATCACAATATGTTTACAGTCCTGCCTGCGAGCAGGCCACAGCTAGGCTGAGCGGGTTAAATAGAATAAAATTAGAAGGACACAGTGTTGCTGGGTGTTTCCTGTGCTTCAGGAACAGCCACCTGGCATTTACACTCCAAAGACTGCTTTGAAGATACCTATGGCAGAGAATTGAGGCTCCTGTCTTTGGTCCCCTGAATTTT